GGGCAAAACGGCCAGTCGGCCAAGACAAAGTGACGGACAGACCTTTAGGCTTTAACCTTCGTTAATTGATTTTGGAATTTGCCAATTTGAAAAATGGAAACAAGAAAACAATGACTTGATTAGTATTTGGGTTATTGAGAATTTTGGATGGGATGGATTGGGCCGTTGCGGTTTAGGAATTGGGATATTGGAGATTGGGAGGGACATGACATCCCTTTTTACATTTCTTTTATATATATATATATTTTTTTGAAAGTTTTCTATTATGATTTTCAAATAATGAAAAAAATTAAACCTTGGGCCTAATTAAATGAGTTTTTAAATAAAAAAAGATTATTCAAAAAAATTCAAAAAAAAAGCATACTCACACTATATAGAAAGAAAAAAATTAGGCCTAATTTTTTGCTATTTTTCGGGCCTAGGGCAGTCGCCCCTATTGCCCCCGGACCGGCCTGGGACCGGTGGTGGAAAGAAACATACTCCCTCCGGTCCGTATTAAAGTTCTCACTTTCCTTTTTGGGATGTTCCTTATAGTGTCAAATAAAGTTCACACTTCCATTGTAGGAAACAAAACAGTGCCAAACAGTGTCAAACAGTGTCCAAACAGTGCCAAACAGTGCACTCCACAGTAAAGTCAAATTTATTTTCTTAATCTGTGTGAAGTCAAACTGGGAACTTTAATAGGGACCGGAGGGAGTAATAAAGATAAATGGTATTGTTGTTATTGGCTCCACTGAACAAAGTGGTGGTGATAGTAACTGAAACATTAAGAGGCCGTTTGGCAGGACTATTTTTCGGCTTATCAGCCAACTTTTTCACCAAACACGTAACTTTTGCTTTCGCGCGCTGAATTGTGTAATAAGCACAAAAAGTAAGGTTGGAGTTACTTTTCTGACTGTATTGGCTGAAGTTACTGTAGATGACCATTTTAGCTATTTTTACCTATAATTGTTTCTTTATTTTATGAATAAAATATATTTTAAAAATATTTTTTTCTGAAATCTGCAGAATCAGCCAATGCAACCACTTCAGCCAGAATTTCATAAATTTCAGCAGAATCAACCAAATCAACCGATTTTCGTGCTATCAAACGGACTCTAAAATTGGATAGAAAACTTCTGTAGCAAAATTTATCCAATTCTACTATAACTTAGACATGCTTTTTTCTTATCATCAACCTGTGTTTCAACTTTTTACAATATAACGATCCGTCTAGCTTGAAACATTACATACATATTTATGGTGTGCCGTGTAGGAGATGGGTTTGACACATAAAAGGCATCTCCTTAATTGCGTCTGTGCACTGGATATTTAGATACTTCACTTACACAACACCAGTTGTCTTACGTTTGAAAGTAAACATTAATTTGAACATTTTTTATATTCCATCGAGTGATATCATGTCTTAAAAGCTGAATTTGAACTTTTTGGATATTCGATCGAGCTGTAACGCCATAAAAATTGAATTTGTACATTTTGGATGTTCAATCGTTTTAACGAGAAAACCAAATCACATCACATCATACAGATTTCAATTAGATCAGATTAAAGAGATTTAATTAGTCTAAAATGGATAACAAATAGTCATATCAAATTAATCAGAGACATCCAATTAAATCATATAAGCTCAAACATGAGAATCATCATCATCAATATTATTATTATTATTATTATTTAAATTATTATTATTATTATTATTATTACTACTATTATTATTACTATTATTATTATTATTAATTTTAAATTTATACGTAGTATAATTTATTTAAAGTAAATAAGAGTAAATTTGCTCCTTTATATGAACATTAAGAGTATTTTTTCACTTTTTAGAAGTTGAGGGTACATCTGCACTTTCATGTATTTCAATTGTACATATATTTTCATAAAAATAAATTAACATGTGTTGATTGCTTTGTGTGCAATGCACGGGTGAGGTAATTAGTTCCCTAAATAGTAGTAACTTTCCAATCCTGTCCTTGTTATGTTTTTATTCGACTATGTTTTTATTAACAATTAAAACATAAAGCTAATATAATAATTTTATTTTTAATAAAATTGCAAAAAAATATTAAATAAATTAATAAAAAAACAAAAATATTAATAAATTATATTTTTTATTTCCTTGTCATTTAAAAAAAAGTTATAATCCCCCGTCCCAGAAAATTCTTCCCACTTTGACTTGGCACGGAGATTAAGAAAGTGGAATAAAGTGGAAATGTGTGGTTGTAGTTGTGTAAGAAAAAGGTGAAATGAATGTAATCCACACAAATTGTTCAAAAATGATAAGTGGGAAGAATTTTTTGGGACGACCCAAAAAGGAAAGTGAGAAGAATTTTATGGGACATAGGGAGTATCTTTTTATGTTTGTTGATGATTTTATTACGGAGTATAATTTAAAATATTTTAAATATTTTATGTTTTTATTACAAATAAAGTATGCTTCTCTTATTAAGTAATGATGATTAGAATAGAATAGAAAGATAAAGTATATTTAACTCATATTTTGGGAAGATAAACATCACGGTTGTATTTATGTTTTAGGGGTTAATTAACTCATATTTAAGGCTACTTCCCTTAAAAATATTATAAAGTCGTTCTACTTGTATGAGTCAGTTTACATGTCAAATATATTTTATATGTGAAAAGACAATTACTTTTTCGAAATTAATAAATAGTTCTCATTCTAAAATGAAAATCAATTATCCGCGCAAAAACAAAATACAAAGTACGAGTGCCATTTTTCTTTAGCTCCCATATAGGGCAATATCTTATAGTTATGTGTCCGTTTGTAAATGTCTATGAGTAAAAAGGCACCTCCTTTTCTTTAGCTGGAAAGCTGGCACCTTCACACGTTGCATACTTGATTGCTTGGGATTTGGCGCAAGAATCTTTACTCTCTTTTTTTATTTAATACTCTTTCCGTTCCTGAAAATGCTTTCAACTTTCATTTTTCGTCCGTTCCAAAAATAACTTCTCTTTCTTTTTTTGGCAAAGAATTTGTGGTTCATAGCATTTCTCTCTCCTCCGCACAACTCTCTACCACACAATTCTCACTTTCTTAATCCGCGTGCCACTTTATTTTGGAAGTAAATTTTGGGATGGAGATAGTAAAACGTAAATTCATATAGGCTAAAGGGTCACATAGCCCATCGAACTAATTTAACAAGTGCAATTCATTCCTTATATAGGAGGCTTTGTCCGGTCGTCGGCATTTGGGAGGTTCCTGGTGGAATATTTTGATGAAATTTTTTGAGCATCTTCTTCGTTAAGTCTAGTTTACTCATACCAGATTTCAGATAAAAATTAAATCGGGAAGACAGTCATATCATTTTCAGAAATGTACTGCGCAGTTTAACTACGCAATTATCTTCAAAAATTCATTTGACTGTCTTCCCGATTGAATTTTTAGCTGAAATTCGATATAAGTAAAATACACATAATGAAGAAAATGCTCACAAAATTTCATCAAAAATTCCATCGAGAATCTTCCCAAATGGCGATGGCCAGACAGAACCTCCTATATAAGGGTGGTTAACACTCTTTCATAGTTTCGTGTAGGGGTGGGCACGGTTGGTTAACCGCATTTTGGTTAACCAATTTTTTGGTTAACCGTGTTTTCGGTTAATATTTCTATAATATCATTAACCGTACCGTAACATCGGTTAACCGGGTAACAATTAACCGTAATATAGGTTAACCAATTATTGGTTAACCAAAAAACCATTTGAACAACTACAAATGTGTTGCCTCTTATAATTGAACATTTACTCCAAGAGATTTCACTGACCCGTAAGAATCCAATATAGGCTCCCGTAGAAGGTTTTCCCATATATTCTCTACTACTTTTTTTTAATTTAAATTTTTTAATGTTTGAAGGGAAGTGGGATGAAAATTGAAAATTAGATAAAAACACCCGATTTAACTAAAAAACGTACTCCCTGTAGGGAAAACTAGTACTCCGTATTATGTACCGAAGCGTTGTATATATAGTGTTCCAAGACATGCCTTAATTGTGACTGTGCCGTATGACAAGTTAATTAATTAATAACTAATAATAATATTAATAACAATAATATAGTCCCGATTCCAATAAACCACCACTTTTTGCTGACTCTAACATTACTCACTATTCACTAATATTAACGGTTTAATGCACATGTGAGTCATGCAATACTTGACTGACATTAGTTTAGATGTGATATTTAGATTATCGGTTAACCGGCGGTAGTTTAGTTTCATAACCGTAACCGTCCCGTGAACCGTTGTTTCTTTCGGTTGGTTAACCGTACCGTGAATTTTTAAAAACACGGTATGATTAACAGTGAAAAACACCGATTTTTCGGTTATTTAGTACGGTTAATCGGTTACGGTTTTTCATGCCCACCCCTAGTTTCGTGTACACCATCAAAAGGGATACCCCACTAAACACTTAAGCAACACATCGATGGATAGAGTCTGAATAGACTCTTGTAATCAATCACTTTTATTTCAAAGAGAACGGATTATATTAAAGTCTATCCTACGGTCACATAAGAAAAATAAAGATAAATGATTATTTTAATTTAAAATAAAAAAGTGATGCGTAGGGAAAAATAAAAAGATTGGAGATGGATATTAAATGGGATTCGAGGAGTTTAATGCACAAAATCCTCTATTGAAATATATATTTGGTGCATTAGCCTTTGGGATTTAAAAGTGTATTAAATCCCCCTGTGATAGTTATTCATACGCAAAACCCTTTTCATGAACAAATTTAATTGTCAAGTAAATGAAAAATGATTAGTATTTTTTTATAATTTAGAAATCTTAACAAAGTTACTTGCATATTTAATATAATCATATTATTAAGAAAAGTGAATTCAAAATTGTAAAATTATATTATTTAATACAATCATATTATTAAGAAAAGTTAATTAGGAGTATAATAATAATTAATATTATTATTTGTGCATGAATAATTACACCACAAGAGAGTTTGAGGCATTTTTTAAATCACATGATTAACGCACCGAATTTATATATTATAAGGGGGTTTGATGCATTAAACATGGGATTCGAGTAATGAAAGTGAATGGAAAGTAAATTGAAAGTGATATTAATATGAAAGTTAAAATGAGTAAGGAGATGTATAGGTGCTATACATAAAAATAATGAGATAAAAATGAAACCCACGTGTAAAAGTGTGGGTGTAAGAGACTAGACACCACCATTGCAGATACTAGGTAACAATATAAAAAAATTGTGAGATGAAATAGATTCCACGTAGTGTAAGGCACATCTTTAAGAAACTAGACAATGTATAAAAAGAAAGAATTGCTCTACATACGACTAAAACATGCTCAGAATTTCAAAACAGGAATTTAAATTTATTATTCCCTAAGAAAGACTCCTAATTACTTTTTACCCTTCATTTTAATTTCTTACCCTTCATTTAATAAAACCTCAAAATAGGCGATCGGCTCCAACAATAAGATGTAGATGCAAATTGCCCAGGCCATCTACGGTGAATACCAACAACGATTTTCCAATTTTCTATAGTCGCCGCCGCTCGATTGATATCACAACCATAGCCACCACCTTTCTTCTTCAATCTCCTGCGACCACACATATACCTTCTGCAATTTTGTGTAATCGAATCGAGTAATCTTCTCTTCTCTTCTCTTCTCTTCTCTTCTCTTCTCTTCTCTTCTCTTCTCTTCTCCTCTCCTCTCCTCTCCTCTCCTCTCTTCTCTTCTCTTCTCTTCCCTTCCCTTCCCTTCCCTTCCCTTCTCTTCTCTTCTCTTCTCCCCTTCCTTTCCCTCGCTGGTCATGCCCTATTTATATAATTCACATTTTTTTTTCAATTAAATGCATGCTTACTTTTGAGATTCTACAAAATTTAGATTTGAGAATTTGGATGTGAAACTAAAACAAGGTTTCAGCAACGAGTGATCAGAAATTTTTATTAGAATTTTAATTATTTACTACGTATTATTTTTGAATTATGTCGTAACTATTGGGTATTATTTAAATAGTAAATTGAAAAAAATGTCAGTTTTATACATTATTGCATCTATCAAAATGAAAAAATAATTTAAAATTACAACATGTCAAATGCCATGTTTTGGCCCGTTTGATAAATAGTGACATTTTCATGCAACTCGCTTTGTAAAGAAGACATTTTATTCTTGAAAATGCCATAACATGTTACTCCCTCCGTTCTTTATTAATTGTCTCGCATTCCTTTTTGGGACGTTTTTAATTATTTGTCTCTCTTTCCCTTTTTGGTAAGTTTTTTCAATCAAAATACCTTTATACCCCCACTTTTATTACTATTACCCCTTTCTCTTTTCTACTTTTTCATTTACCCACAACCCACTACACCTTTTACACTACCCCTATTATTTTCCTCTTAAAACCCGTGCCAAAGCCTAAGAGGACTCATATTTAAGAACGGAGGGAGTATTTTATAATTTCATATTAAAACGCTATGTTTTAAACTAACAATGACATGTTTTTACAACTAAAACTGCCATATTTTTGTCTCTATTTTTATCATATTGGGAATTTTACCAGAAATTAGTAACATAGTTTGAGCAGGTAACATCGAAACAGAAGATGTTGGCACCTCAGGTGATTTGAGAAGATGGTGTCCCCCTGTGGCGACTTCAGTACTACACCCAGGCCTGCACCATTTTGAATTGATGCCCCGCCAGTGTGCATCGTCCATGTTTGTTTAGGCAAACCGTCAATCAAGATGCATGTCTCTTTCTCCGCTTCAGTTTGGAGTTTTGGACTGAAGTCTGCCACAAAGTTTGCAAGCGACTGGGATTTCAGAGCCGTCCTTGGCTCAAACCTTATGTCATAACCACCTAGTTGAATCGACCATTTAGCCATGCGACCTGTCAACTCGGGCTTCCTCATGATTAACTTCATGTGATAATTAGTTCGAACACAAATGGTATGTGATTCAAAATAAGGGCGTAATTTAATTGAGGCAATAACTAAAGCTAAAACCAATTTTTCGAGTAAGGCGTACCTGGATTCGGGGCCGTTTAAGGACTTACTTACATAATATACCGGAGTTTGTTGCCCCTGTTCTTCCTTTGTCAAAACTGCATTGACGGCGTGTTCTGAAACGACTAGATACAGCTGTAACTCGACGTCGTCTTTGGGTTTGGCAAGTAACGGCGGGGACATCATGTATTCTTTTAACTGCTGGAGTGCCTGCTCATGCTGATTTGTCCATTCGATTTTTTTTTCTTTCGCAAAACGTCATAGAACAAATGGCATTTGTCAGACGACTTCGAAATGAAGCGATTGAAGGCTGCAACTCATCCTGTCAACCTTTGGACATCCTTGACAGATTTGGGCGATTCAATGTCAAGAATCGCTCGTATTTGTTCTGGGCTCGCTTCTATTCCTCGTTCGCTGACAATGTAGCCCAAGAATTCTCCTCATGACACTTCGAAGGCACACTTAGCCAGGTTAAGTTTTAGATTATATTCTCGTAGGTTCTTGAATGAATCCGTCAGGTGACTTATGTGATCTTCCTTATGTTCTGACTTGACGATCATGTCGTCGATGTAGACTTCCATGGTCTTTCCCAACTGCTCCTTGAACATCATGGTAACCAGCCTCTGGAACGTTGCACCTGCATTTTTGAGTCCAAAAGGCATAACAATGTAATAATACGTACTTGTCTCAGTTATGAAGGCGGTCTTCTCTTGGTCATCCGGGTGTAACTGAATTTGGTGATAACCGCTGAAAGCGTCCATGAGGGATAGCATCTCGTGTTCGGCAGTTGCATCAGCCAGTACGTCAATATGCGGCATAGGAAATGAATCCTTTGGACATGCTTTGTTTAAGTCAGTGAAGTCGACGCAAACTCGCCACTTAGCTGGTTTTCCCTTGTTCTTTCCTCTTCTTTTTTGCACGATGACGACGTTGGCTAACCAGTCAGGATACTTGACCTCTTTCACCTTGCCGGTTCGGAGCAGTGTTTCGACCTCCTCGTTTACTATGTAGTCCTACTTCGGGAATAAAAACAAAGTAGTCCTATGACGACGTTGGCTAACCAGCTACAAGATGACAGTAAATACTGCCATGTTAGTCCCATTTCGGGAATAAAAACAAAGTAGTCCTATTTTGGAATTTCAAACTTCATTTACTCCTATTTTGGAAAATCTTCCTTTTCAAAACTTTGGTTCTTTGAATTTTCAAATGTTCTTGAATGTAGAATACAACTTGAAGGATCTCTGATCTTCAACAAAAATGGTGGTTTAATGACTTGATCTTCTGCTAAAGGGTTCCCCGAATATATAGCTTGATCTTCAATTGAATCTAAATTCAATCTTCATATGAATATCTCCAAATCTTCAAAGATTTGTTCTTCAGATCTTCGTATCTTCAAAGCTACATTCTTCATATCGTCGAACCTTTGAGCTCCATTCTTCGGATCATCGAGCACTCTTCAACTTTTGGACTTATTTTTATCATAAATAGACAAAATCACAAAGGATTATTCGTATATTCTTAATAAAAGTCATGGATTGGATTCTTCTCCTTCTTCGAAAATGTTCAGAGCCTCTCGAAGTTCTTCAGCGCTTCTGTGCAGTGTTTCTTCGTCTGGAAATTCTATCCACTATTTCTCTCAACTAAGACCCTTTTGGTTGTGGAGGGGATGAAATATGAAATAGGGTTGAAAAATTTCATTCATACTCCTCTCTTCGCTGCCCTCTTCATAAATTAGATTGTGTCTCTTTTATATTGGACCACTATTTAATATTGGGCTAAAAATAAAGAAATTAATACAATCGATCCATTCTTTTAAAGACTTAATTTATAATTAAATCAATCATTAAATTTTATTCGAATGGACGCATATTAATATTTTCCTTTAGACCAGGCTCAAGACGTATAATAGTCCGAAAATATTAAATAATTTTCAATATTCACACTTGCATGAAAATTTATGAACATCAAACATGTTTGACAAGACTACGAAAGGAGATATTTTAAGTTGCCAACTCCAAATATCATGTAGGTGCACGCTAAGTAATAAGCACAATCTTTATAAGAGCTCAGAGTTTATAAGTTATCCCTAGGTCGCTCTAAGATTCCCTCTCTTAAAACGGGGGTTTGGGGTCTTTAAATAGAGAAAACAGACGAATTTCAGCCGAACTGGGATTTTCCGGCGCAGGCACGACGTTAGGCACGACGTTGCCGTGCCTACGTCCGTCCCTGCTTGGTAGTAGCTACCGAATTGTTTCCTTCAGCGGGCACATGGCGTGTGCCCTTCCTGTACGAATTGGACTATGATTCGTTCACCAAAGTTGTATCTAATGAAGCCTTCTATCCATCAAAACTTGCAAAACTAGATTTTTATCATTGAATAAAAAGATATGAATAAAATGGTGGAACGTCGCATCCTAAAATCTCAACAGCGATTGTCTGACTTTCTCGTGTATTTTCACCTTGCTCCTCTCATAGTATAGTCGTGGTGTCTTCATATGATTTGTAGCCCTTGAAGTTAGGTTTCATATGGAACTTGAATCGTGTACTTTGGATCTTTCTACAAAAAGATATGCTCGAACGATTGACAGAACATCATCATGATCGCCGTTTTCAAGCTCTAATCGTCCAAGATTGATCTCGTACTTGCTCCTTGAGCTCCCTTGACTTCAAAATCATTCCTTTAATGAATCGTGGACCTTCAATGCTTTTTCAAAAACGATCAAAAGTGTCTCGAATCCTCCCAGTTAATTCTTCAATGCTGGTGCCGGGCTTAGTTTCCTCAGTTTCACTTCAAAAATCCCAAACTCGAACCAACGCCCGGTAAAATATGACTTGAGCTGAAAATTGAGACTTATGAACCATTAAGCTAGAAAACCCATCAAAAGCCAATCTCACCACGCATCAAATGCGTGTCGAAATACGGACTTATCAGGCCTGTTTAGTAATAGAAATATTTTTCACTTTTCTTTTCTGTTTTCCATTTTCCAATTTTCTGTTTAAGTTTTCCAGTTTTCCTATCTTCAATATTCTGTTTTCATTTTTAGTTTTTTCATTTTCAAATTTAAAAACATGTTCATCAATTTTTTCCACTCAATTATGTGACCGAAGACAGAAAGTACAGTCCCAATCCGGAACCGAACCTAGTTCAACCCAAGTAGGGTGTCAAATCCCACGTGTAGGAAAGTTGGGACTGAAACCGGCCGGCCCACGTCGATCCCAACGGTTAGTTTGACTTATTCCTTTTCTTTTCCCTATTGGTTGACAACTCAATGGCTCTTTTAAAACTCTAAACTTTAGAAAATGATTTCAAAAAACCGGGACCGAACCACAAGGTTGTTATCCGGACAGGATGGGACCGCCATGTTGTTGACTAACCGGATGGGAATCGTCGAGCCGTTGATATGACCGGATGAGTCTGGAATGCCCGATCGTCAACCGGACCGAACAGGTACCACATTGACGTGGATCAGATCGGGTAGGGACTACCGGTTCATTGACCGAACCGGACAGGGGCCGCCGGGTTATCGACCAGAACGGACAAGAACCGCCGGGTTATCGACCGGAACGGAAAAGGACCGCCGGGTTGTCGATCGGATCAGGACTATTGGTTCGTGAATCATACGTGATCGTGACTACTCAGCCGTCGGCTGGACCGGACAGGGACCGGTGGGTCGTTGACCGGACCAGATAGGGACTCAAGGATTGTTGACCGAACTGGACTCGAACTGACATCGGAGCGTGACCGAATCGACAA